CCAGGAATGCGATAACTTGGAAGCCATGATGATGAGTGGAACGAGATGGAGAACGCCGGTGACAAAAGACTACGAGGGAGAAAGTGCAAGATGCGGTCAGAAGATACCGGCCGGTTTTTATACCCGCATCGCTACACTGCAGACAAGACTACAGCTTGGCCTGGCCTACCTTGCCCAGACTACGGGTTGAGCCATGTTACACGTGTTGCTGTCTGAACACACGCTCACGAGCTTGCTGCCCACACTAATCCCAAGGTTTCCAAGGCAGCCCAACGTTCCCCGCACGACCTGATAAGCTCTCTGGGGAATTTAGTTCCAGAGCCCTGGAAGACAATTGCGAACGCTCGCATTTGCTTACCGCATTTGGTCCAAGCGGCATCGACAGTATGCGACTGTCTCATGACACCGGGCAATTAGGGCGCTCACCAGCGTGCATTAGTGACTGAAGATGGATGGCTGGGGGCCCGGTGAGATGACAACTCCCCCCTCACCGCGATGCGGCATCGACAGTATGCGATTGTCTCATGACATCGGGCAATTAGGGCGCTCACCAGCGTACATCAGTGAGTGAAGATGGATGGCTGGGGGCCCGGTGAGATGACAGCTTCCCCCTCACCGCGATGCGGCACCGGGCCGGTCCAGACTTTTGTCTCTTTAGTTTCCCCATTCGGACTGACGCGGTGGGCAAGATGGTGGGCATCCACTCTCGATGACCGGGGTTAGTAGAACAACTGGGTCTGAGGCCTATCTTTTAACCACTTTAGTCCATATATTGTCAGTGATATCCAGCTGACTAGGAACGCCGCAATGCCTCTTTTCCTACCCTTTAAGAATTAGCGACGTTGGTCTTGGAATTGATCTTTGCCCTTGGTGTGAGTGAGCTTCTGTTCCCTGCAGGTATTTGATAGACAATCGGCCCGGACTGATAGCACGGCGTGTAACCCGGCACGTGGTAATCTGCCATGATGTATTTTATTCGGCATCCTAGTAGCAGTATACTGACACATCCCCAATTCTGCGGTGGTCCGTCCCTGCACTTCGGTTTCGAAAGACTGGAGGGCCCGAACTAGGAAGTTGATTCACTGCATCTGGGGTAAACTTGATAGCTGAAGTACCAGGTTGGGACGATCGGTCAACTTGGCATACGTAGGAAGGCCAGCTAAGGTTTATTTCAGGTCCTGCGAGATACTTCTTTCAGAAACTTTTCAAGTCTGACCGGACATCTATTCCTGGAAATAGGATGTTTGCCTGAAGTATGTCAAAGGCATGGACTCTTGTAATCCTAGCCGAGTCGAGAACGGAGAGGCCCCGGTTCGTTGGCGAATCTCTGAACTTCGTAGTGGAAAAGGCCTCCCACAGGATCCCATACCCATGACAAAGACTCTACAACCAGTGAGTCCAGGCTGAAAACTGCGGGTCATAATCAATTGGGGGACAGACAGTGCTTCGTAGAAGGACTGAGCACTTTCTGCTTTGCATTTGAAAATATTGGATCAAGATCCATGTCCTTGGGGGGTCTTGCGAGAGTATCTCACCGATATGAGGAGGGAATGGGAGATCGTTCGTAGAGCGATTACTCGAAAAACATGTTGTGAACACCGTACCGGAATCTTTCACATCTTAAAAAGCAATGTTAGTTCCTTGTTGCAGATGAGTTCGGGTTTTTTTCTATGTCTGAATTGACATTATCACAAATTGTTTGTAAAAGCCATTCCTCGGGTGTCCTCGTAAGTTCCTTATTGGAATGAAGCGATCTAAAGTAACAGAGCGACTCTGGCCGGCTGTAAATGATCTGACGAACTAACTGGATTGGACATGAAGTTGGTAGGCAGGATTGCTTTTTGTGGATGTCGTCTTTCTTGTATTTGGCCTGAGCGACGAAACCTGAGAGCTTTGACTCATAGTTCAGGGCCGTAGTTTGCTTAGTTGAAGAGCGTATAGTAGAATATTCAAACCCCATGATCGAGAACTCAGTAGAAGCACAAATTCTCCATCAGAAGAAGGATGAGCTCTCACCTCAAGTAGCTCAAATTTCACGTGGGGAGCAGATGATTGCTAACCAATGACATCGCTGCGGTCGAGCCTTACGCTCTTGGGCGATGACTCGACAGGAAATTGTGTAGAACAACGGGCCGGGGAACTACTTTGGGCACATGTCGAATGAACCGAGCAAGCAGTCCTAAATGTCGTAAGAGGCAAGGACACTACACAGATGGTTACTATAATAAAGTCAAATAAATCAACAGGAGTCGTAGCAAGGCGTATGCTTTCCAATATAACGCCCCAAGTAGTAAAACTAAGCCAAAACAAGGCCGTAACAGTTCAAGTGGTAGATGGCCAATTAGGAATAATGCTTTCGTACATAGTATTACACGAAGAAAATGTAT